TTTGATCTAAAAAATGATAACAGTTGGAGTTTGTTATATTATATTAGTGACCGTCCGCTTCAGAATTGTACAAAAGAATAAAGTAAATTGAAAAATTGTGCATTCTTTTAATGGAACATAGACAACATATATACAATAAACGCAAATTAATTAATTATAGTGGTTTAATTTACTACACACTACACCACTCAAAACTGCTTTAAGTAATGTTTCACGGGCTCCTTGAGACTTAGGGATTTTCCAAGTCAGCAAGGAGGTAAAACAACGTCTTGTCTTGCTAAGAAAGGCAAGACAGAAAGTTAGCAAATACGACAAGAACTCTTGCTTTATATATCAAACAACAGAATTTATAGCATACTCCTGGTTAATTAATTATTTTATTACTCAATGATCAATAGTCAGTTTTTTTGTTACATAATATAGTCGCTTTTTTTTAACGATTGAAACCTATTAAAAATTGACGAAAAGCATATACCTTAGTCATTTAATATTTTTTAGCTTAATTCGTGCACAATTCATTATTAACTGATAGAAACCATATAACAAAATTTGCCTGGTACATGTGATATGTTGAATTTAATGTAATTTACTTAAAAATTATTTGTGAGTAATTCTGCAATCAGGTTCCAAAGCAACATTTTTTTTAATTAGACTTTGTTTATTACTTTTTTTAATAATGTTATATTATGTATACGCAGAAGATATTGAACATCGTCAAATTACTTACTTAGATCATTGTAATGTATCTACATGATAATTATGTCTAATAACTGTCAATACATATCTACTTGAAGCATTTTAGCTTTAGAATGAAACGCATGTTTCGACGTGTATGATATCGAACACCAATTAATGTATTAATTTTTTCAGTCGATATAAACAATTTCTTTTTAAAAAAATATCTATGAATCACGTGTTAAGGTAATAACTTTATGTTATTACTCTAAAAATCACGTATTTTTTTTAAACACTGCAAAGTCATGTAACAATTAGGCATCGACATTTTTTAGATAAAAATTTAATAATACCTTTCGTAGGAACTGACGACGTTTTTAATAATATGTAGTTATTTAGTAAAAAAAAACTTACATAATGCAATGCAAATGTGGCATTTATGCCATTCATCTAAAAACCCATACGCCATTAAAAGTCTGATGTAAAGAACATCTACAGAGACAGCTTCATGTCATACAAGCAGAAGGACAACGACCAATAAAAATCCCTTTCTAGGATTATACGGCTTAAGGAGAAAACCGGAAATTTATAAGAATTATTTGCTGTAATAACGTAAAAACATTTCTGAAACAAGAAAAACCACAAATATGAACATAAATGTTAAATTCACGGATTTTTGTTGTTATTTTTTTTTATCTAGAGATATAGATACTTCTTTTAAATTTTTTTATGTGAAGAGAAACGCCATAAAAAAAATTTCTCAGTAATAATTAGGAGAAAAGTTTGTATTATTTGACATAAATAAGATTTTGAATCGATACCATGGACCATTCGACGTATCAACACGGAAAGTTACATAACCCATTACAAAAAGAGATTGCCATCAATATTAAGCTAAAAATAGACTATAGTGCATCCTTCAAGGATAGGAGTCAATTAAAATTTTAATCCGTTTTTTATAATGTCACTAATCTGAAACATTATTAACAGAGACAGATGTACATTAACGCATTATACTTCAAAAAAAATTAAAATATACGATATTACAAAAACGAAACAAAATGTAATTAATAAATAAATGTTGAATGTTTACAACATTTTTAACTTCGTAATGCGAATAAATTGCATGTACTAGTAATACAAATACTAACAACTAAAATATAACTGACCTAGACCGTGAGTGACCGATCACTATTTATCTATTTACATATTATATTATTGTATATACATATACATACTAGCTATTCAAAACTGTCAATAACTATTACCACACAAACTGTTTACATACATGCCTGAATACAGATACACATTAGTAGTAAAATTAGCACGTTGAAACGTACTTGGATAGTTTTTTAATTAAGGAACAAGCAGGACTACAGGCGCCCCAAAATAGAGAGTCCTAACATGGGCAAGCAAAAAAATTCTAAAATACTATCTATATATTAGTAAATCTAAAGAAATTAGATACAGTATACTTGATAAAAAAATTCATAATTTCACCAACCCTAATGTAAGCTACTTCTTTCGGACGGACGTCAGATAGTCGCAATCTTGGAATTCTCCTGTTAAATATCCCTTTCTAAAAACAAGATTATTAAAATTTATCTCCATTAGTGGCATTTTCCTTTTATTGTTATTAATCAAAAGGCTCCAATTATTTTAGAAAATACTGTGTTCTGCCTGCGACGCGCTGATGAGATCCAAAAAGATCGAAATCGCGATCCGCGTCTGGCAGTTTCGACAGAATACACACCACTTCGAATTATTTTATTCGATTAAGCTAACGTGCCTATCACGTTGAGGTTGGTTACGCCGGGATTCGTTTTCAGCAAGTAGATATTCACACAAGTGGACCTTGTTGGAGCAAACGTAATCCTAAAATGTAGCATCGTGCTACAGATGGCGTTTACTGCGCCATTTGTAGTATCTTCTAAAACGTACTGTTAAGACAGCAGGTAAAAGTTGGTCTGTGTTCTGTTGGAGCTGCCTGCGACGCGCTGATGAGATCCAAAAAGATCGAAATCGCGATCCGCGTCTGGCAGTTTCGACAGAATACAGACCACTTCGAATTATTTTATTGCTTTAATTATTGTTTAATTTAAATAACATTTATTGTCATTGTACCCTAAAAAGGGGCAAAACGTCATAAGCAATTGTGACTGACCAAAAGCTCGATGTGAACTGAATCGATATTCCATACGACCACAGTGAAGTAAGGAGGTAGCTACTGGGTATGCTGGAATATTTTGAAAACCGATGCGTACAATTTACCAAAACTTTGAGTGTAGATTTGTATTAATGTAAGGTTAGTTATGGGCGAAAACAATTTATGTACCAACACGTGGAATGAGCGCTAAGGGACGTCAAAATTTGGAAAAGTTTTGATGGTTTCTGCGTAGAAAGTGAGTGAAATCAATGCAAAAATCATTAGATACAATGGCTAATGAGAATGGAAACTATGTTTCCATGTCATTCACTCAATAGGGGCGCAAATAATTCACTTCAACAAATTTTCTCAAAAGGTTTAGATGAAAATCCATGAACCTTTCAATATTTAAACTCATTGTTTATACCGATGAGAGGCATTTACCTATATGACATTATGAAGATCATTTAGTAAGAAATAAGCAAAAAATTTAATTTTATTTATAGCCAATGAAGTTAGTAAATAGTTATTAAGTTGTGTATGATCAGTGTATAATAATTTTTAATCGTGAAAATATTTATTCAATGTATGGCATTGGATTATTTCGGGCTTATTTAGAATGTCTTTTGTTCAAATCGGATTGTCCAGATTTTGTGGCAAGTCATCTTCATTTTCAAGCATTTCAATGTCAATAATTGTATTCACATTGAAATTTTTGCTGACTATTATGCTGACACTTCTGTGATTTCCTCGAATCACTTAAATGCTGTGGTAGTAAAGTATTCCAAAAATAATCTTTCACTCTGTTCTGCCTTCATTTGGTCCATCTCATCTTTCTTACCCCAAACACCAGACACTCGTCCCCAGGATTCTTAAAAGAGAGACTAAAGGGAAAATTTCCTAAAGTATGCACATTTCTATCACATTAATAAATGCTTCACCAATTGCCCAACGAGTTAACTATTTCGATTACAATTAATGTTGGTAATGCTTTCGTAAAAGGTTCTGATTGTTCAGTATTGTGATTTCTCGTCTTAAATGTTACGTAACATTTTAAATTATCTGCTCAAGATGAAGAAACACCAAAAAAGCGTCAGCTCAGGTAAACCACATCCGACTATAACTTTCTCCGTTATTTGACAGACAGCATAGCGTTGCTAAACTACTATAAAAAATTGTGTAAATAATCTCATAACAACTCTTCACAGTTGCGGCTGTTTTTTTAAATAAAATTCACACCTTGCAGGCTTAAAACTACTCCAACTGATTGTGTTTACATTATTTAATACATGTAATAGAAAAGGTAAACATAATAATTGATAATAATTACAATTCTAACGAACGATAAGTTCGCGTTTGTTAGCAAGAAAAACCGCTGCATAATATTAGCAATAGAATTGTGCACAAATTTGCAATTAAAAAGGTGAATCATTGAATTATTTATTTTATCAATAAGTAATTTACTATTCTGATCATGGAACAGACCACACCAACGTGTGCATCAGAGAGAAATAAAATTAAATTTATTATGAAATGAATGGTCTAAATCTTAGAAAAATTCTTATTCATTTATTCCTAGATTTCTTAATACCACTTTTCCATAATAAGTGAAGCCACGCACTTGTTAATGGTGTTGTAAAATATAAAGGTGGTTATTAAAAATTCAATAAATTATAAAATAAGCATAGTAATGGTTGAGCTGAATGTTTTTGCATGACGAAGTACAATTTTTACTGTTTTAAATGAAAACGGAACGGAGGAAGTTCATATTTTAATGTTAAACGAAAAATCAAACGACACAATTGCAACAAATTCGAATATTAGCGGTAAAAATTCCGTAACTACTGGTTTTTAACCTTATCCTGTTAATTTAATGTATTATTTTTGTTAAAATCTTCCTACGTTAAACTCTGTAAACAAACTGTAGGAATATATTTGTTTATTCAACAATTTTTATGTAAAATAATGACTTTAATAACAATGTTAAATTACAAACCAAAACAAAGCATCCAAAACTTTTTAAACAACATCTGTATTGATGTAGCTGCAATTTAAAATGTAATTAATGTGAAACATAATCATTACTTGCACGCCCCTTGTTCTCTTAGGATTTAATGATTTAATATCCTCAAAACAATATTAACACTACAGTTAAACCTATCTTATCTTTTTCTCGTAGGATTCAAACATATTTTGAATTCAATATCGGGGAAATTCAGATCTGGGGAGTTCACCGCCATTTTGGGACCCAGCGGAGCCGGGAAATCCACTTTACTAAATGTACTAGCCGGATATGTGTAAGCTAATCATTTTTAAATTTTATTTATTGAACTAGATGTTACTCAAATTTATTCTTCCATGAAATTGTGTTATTAATTATTATTGCAGTCGTCATGGCATATCAGGCACAATCAAAATCAATGACAAGCCAAGAGAAATGAAAATATTTAACAAATTATCCGCTTATATTATGCAAGAAGATCTTTTGCAACCGAAGCTTTCTGTCTTCGAGGCTATGATGGTAGCGGCAAATTTGAAACTGGGACCAAAAGTAACCAAAAAAGAAAAAGAAAACATCGTAAGTATACAAACTATCTTAAAGTTTGTTCTACTCTTAAACAGTTTATTTAATGTCTTCGGTATTTCGTTTGCAAATACGCAAAAACAAAACACAAAAATTTTGTTTCATGGCGAAATCGTCGTCATGATTGTTACTATTCGTACATTGCACTTCCTTACTAAAGTCATGGTCGATATAAATAATTCAATTATTTTCAGGTTCGTGAGGTACTCGACGTCCTTGGCTTGAAAGGATGTACAGACACAAGAACTGAAAGACTGTCAGGGGGGCAAAAGAAGAGGGTATCGGTGGCCTTAGAACTGGTTAACAATCCCCCTGTAATATTTTTAGACGAGCCGACCACGTAAGTGACTTTTTATTTCGATTTTAAGTGACTGATGAAGCGTTTTGTTTTGTTTCGGAAACAATTTAAACAAAAGTTAGTCATAATGATATCTTTTTTGTTTCGTGATACAAAGGCTTGTATTTTGTTTTTTGTTTAACATTCAAATTTAAAACAAAATCACCGAAAAGAACAGTCACAAGGACTTTAGCAGAGCGTGAAATTGAACAAAAACTATCACGTACAGCACACAAAACTGCTTAATGTAAAAAACAAAGCAGTATTGTATTCAAATGTTTTCAAGTAACCTTCTTGCTTAGCTTAACCCGACGCAGAATTTGACTGAGAACAAAACAATCGCTTTTCAAAAAGTTTCCAGAATAAACCGTGCCAATGACGAAATAGAATACAGGGTGGAAGGTGATAACAGGTGAAAGCAATTTAAGTTTGACATAACTTTGACTATTCCATTGCTATAAAGAAAAATAGGATGATTTTTTTTTAAATAATAAATACCTGTTTGGTATCTTTTTAAGTAAATTCTAAACTATTTGGTTGTTGACATAAACTTGAGATTACGCTATCGCCTGTTTATCAAATTAATTTAGAGTGTAAGATTATCGGGTGATTGAGGACTTGGAGTTACGAAATTGTTGTATCTCCTTCTGTCTACGAGGGTGGATTGATAAGTTTCCGGCCTAACCAAGAGATGACGCCACTAGGCCTACCTTGAGGTGACATTCTATAGTACCATCCTTGGATAGCTTGTAGCTATAGTTTCAGCCCGATCTCCTTGCTAGTGTAGGTTTGACAGCACGCTGAACAAGACGCCTCTGTGGTTTTCGTAAAAATGGAAAAGCAGGAAAATCGTGCTGTCATCAAATACTTTTATTTGAAGGGGTTAACGCCGAAGGAAATTAAAAAAGAGATGGACTCAACACTGGGGACATCCTCCCCGTCATATTCAACCGTTAAGCAGTGGGTTTCCGAGTTTAAAAAGGGTCGTGTGAGCACCTCCGATGGGCCTCGCTCAGGACGCCCCGTTGAGGTCACAACTCCAGATATGATCGAAAAAATTCATCAAATAGTGCTGGGAGACCGCAGATTGAAAGTGCGTGAGATAGCTGAGACCTGTAAGATGTCATATGAACGTGTGCAACATATTTTGCACCAACATTTGCATATGGAAAAGCTCTGTGCAAGATGGGTGCCGCGTTTGCTAACAGTCGACCAAAAATTGATTCGAAAAAACATTTCTACCGCAAATTTGTCATTGTATAAGCGTAATCCAAGCGAATTTTTGCGTCGATTCGTAACCGTTGACGAAACGTGGGTCCACCACTACACTCCTGAAACCAAAGAACAGTCTAAACAGTGGATTGGACCAGGGGAACCAACTCCAAAGAAGGCAAAAACAATTTTTTCGGCGAACAAGGTTATGGCTACTGTTTTTTGGGATGCAAGAGGTATTATATACATTGATTACCTTGCAAAGGGTAATACTATCACTGGTCAATACTACGCAGACTTATTGCAACGTTTGAGCCACGAGGTGAAAATTAAACGACCTCATCTGGCGAAGAAAAAAATCTTGTTTCATCACGATAACGCACCAGCGCACACGTCAATCGTTGCGACGGCTAAAATCAACGATCTAAAGTTTGAATTGATGCCGCACCCTCCTTACTCTCCAGACCTAGCCCCGAGTGACTATTTTCTGTTCCCTAATCTCAAAAAATGGCTTGGCGGTAAGAGATTTGCGGACAATGAAGAAGTAATCGAAGCTGTAAATGGTTATTTTGAGGAGCTTGACGAATCAGTCTATAGAGATGGCATTAATAGACTGGAACACCGCTATGAGAAATGTATCAGCCTTAGAGGAGATTATGTTGAGAAATAAAAAAAAAAATTTTTTAAAAACCTTGTTTTTCTTGGTCAGGCCGGAAACTTATCAATCCACCCTCGTATTAAGACGTTAAAAAATAATTACTTATGATTTCCGAGGCTGGAAATTCAAAGCTACTGTCACGGTTACCATTCACATAATGACCCCCCTGACAAAGCACTTGTTACATGAATGTCTTCTTGGTTGTCAGATACGTGAATTTTCCACATTATGTTACAATGTCTTTGTCTGATGACTAAACAACGAATGAGTTTTTGTACCTATCAAAGTTTAATGGACATTTTGTGAAGCAAATGGCTTTTTAAGTGGCCTATAAATGATAGAAGTAACAATTCTATATCATCATCGTGCGTTTCCTTCTAATGAGACACACGTTAGATTTTTATTAGTTCATAAAAAAAAACATTTATGTAATATATAATAATAGCAAACCTCTTTGAAAAACAAAAAAATTAAGATGCATTAAAAAGTAATAAAAACGCTAATTATTTGAAACGGGGTATTACGTACAGAAAAATAGCGAATAATTGCAAATTGTCTCGTTAATATTACCTAGGAGTTAAGAGGTCAAAAGTCTAGTATCGGATGATACTGAAAATCGTTCGAACAAAGAAAACGAACCAGTTAATTAAATTCGGATATTAAGTACCTATCATTAGTGGTTATTAGTTTTGAAATAACGTTACAGTTTTAACAGAAAAGAAAATAGGCGGAAATAACCGGAGTGTCTCTGTTTTGTGTGTATATTTTACTGCGCAAAATTTAATTAACATCTTGATAGCCACCGTAGCTTAAAAAAAAACTACTACATGACACATGATAAATAAGACAAGTTTTATGTATTTATTGGTAGGAACAGCGGATGCAGATTGACAAATCTCTACTCGGAAAACCAGACGTGGCAATTTTAATAATAAATTGCATCTTATTAGTAGCGAAGAATAAATCGACAAAAACTAGCACTAGTACAATCAGCCTTGACAGCGTATACACCTATACCTAGAAACCTTAAGTCATGTATAGTTGGTACGATCAGAATTGACAAAGTCTCCAATAAATTATTTGTGAGAGCGCACGTATGTATCTTCTTTCTTGTTTCCACTTGGGGCTGTAGTCATTTACTGCGTTTTGAACACCCCTAGTTAAGTTAGGAAATGCTTCAAAGACAAAGGGAAAAGAGATAACCGAATAATAGTAGGCGGTGCAGCGGTTAAAGGTTTGCTTAGGTATGCAAAAGATCAGGGTTGGCTTTATAACTGTCTGGTTGGAATTATATCTTTGAACAAACGTCTTGCCTTTCCTAAATTCCAGAGAATATTAAACTTGCTGGCAAATTTTGCTTGTCTGCATCTCTTTCTATTACCAGGGGCGGCCTTTGGGGGTGACCAACAGGGCAACCGCCCGGGGCGTTGCTCTTGCAGGGGCCTCGCACACTCGCGCAACAATCTAATTAGAAAAATATTAGGTAGTAATAGTACGTACTACTAATGTTTATTTGAATTTCTTAATAGTCTTAAAAGAAGCCGCAAATTTGCTATCTTTGTCTTTATCATTTTGAATCACTGTTAATTTTTCAAGTATCATCATTAAAATTAATTCCACAAAGACGAGGGCCTCGCAAAAATTTTCCCGCCCGGAACCTTCCAATGACTAAGGCCGCCCCTGTCTATTACACATCAATTGGTGTAATGTTATTCCTTTTTCTTTATTAGTGTCCGCTGCAATTCCTACCTGGCATCTCTTTCTTATATGTACATTGTTCCTTACAACGTCTGCCGTGAGCAAAAATAGGCGTTCTGTGTAGTTAGTATATTGAAAGAAGAAAGTAAATGCAACCGTTTTATTTCAGTCTATATCAATGTTATACGTTCCAAGTATACACCCCAAATTTTAACAAATAAAATATTCCATCCCCACTTCAGCCATCGTTCTGCAATACTACCTTACAAAAATCTATCATTAAAAGTAGAAAATCATACGGCGCTTCTAAGAATAAATAATAATCCAAAAGATAAATAGTGTTCATCATCTTTTTTCACTAATAACAAAAACAAAATGGAGATAATGCGTTCCAAAATTTAAAATAAATTAGTTTATTCGCATATGCCAGCAAATAAAAGAGAAACTTAGACCCCTTTTATTTCAACTTGTATCCCACACTGTCTAATTCCCACCAGTAGTAGTAACGCTGGTGGACTGGCAATCCTTCTGGACCATGTCGGAGAATAGGGCGGAAGATCCTCTTCAGTTTCATTTTAAGAGTGGTGGGAATAGGGGAGTGGTATTTAGACGGAGAAAGATTAGAAATTCACATCTATAAATTCCTTCATCCTCCTTCAACTAATACTTACACTTATTCCTTTCCTTCCCTACTCTAATTTGTATCCATATCTTTTTCCCCATTCAAATACCGTGTCATAAACCTCCCTGCTAAAGCTCCCACATCAAGGTTTTTGTTAGTATGTACCTAAATTTTAATTAATAGGAAGGAGATACAAAAAACATACTATTAAGAGTATTTTTCTTTCGAAACGTTTGACGATGATGATGGTGTACGTAATTAACAAAAATAATTAAATAAGGAGGTACCATTTACCGTCTGTATATAACACAAAACAAAATTATCTATTCTTTTCAGGGGTTTGGACAGTGTGGCTATTAAGCAATGCATCAATGTACTTAAAACACTTACAAATCAAGGTAGAACGATTATTTGTACAATCCATCAACCACCTGCTTCAATTTTTGAACAGTTTGATCAGGTAAGATGTTTTTCTCTCATATTCATATGTATCTCCTAATTCAATGTACCTTTTCTTTGACAAATATTACCTGCTACTAAACATCGTACCTATAGCACAAATGACAACTAAAAAGATATACGTATCATGGTATTTTTATTTGCAGGTTTATTTTTTGGCAGACGGACTTTGTGCATATAACGGTCCTGCAAACAAATTGGTTGATTTCTTATCATCGATTGATATTTCTTGCCCAACCACGTACAATCCTGCCGATCACCGTAAGTTTTCGATCATAATTACCTTTTTAACTTTAAGTTTTTGTATTTAGTTTCCATACATCCTGTAGCCAAATATTATTGAAGAATATTATAATTCCTAAGGTCGTCCGCTCTAGTTACCATTTGTACCACAGTGTAGGTGGGTGGGAAAAACGCCACCTACCAGCATCAGCTGATGAGAGCGAAACGCGATAAAGTTTAATATACTTAACTAATTGATTTCTATTGTTGTTTTTGATAATAATTACTTAATACGAAGGTTCCAAACAGGTATTCGTAGCCTCGAGTTTCTTCAATAACGATATCAAATATAATTTGATAAATCCACTAATATTAATTAATTAAATATCCGTGTAACGACCTGTTGTTTTACGGTTATTTTATTGTTTATTAATCAAAAATCGTTAATTTACTTTTCACAAAATTAAGAGGGATAACTAAACATAAATTAACAGCGTAGATTACGTAATGTACCATCCTGTATGATTAATATATGAATAATATTTTAGATAGCACATAATTACATAATTAGTCGCTACTTTTAATTTTATATCAGCCATCTAATGAATCACTAAAAAACATATTATTAATCGTAAGCTCGATAAATGCCTAATGATGTCACGTATTAATTAGGGGTGCTTACAGAATTTCGGGTTACAATGGAGCTAATTGTAGAAAGAAACTATAATTACTTACCTAGCAAAATAATAAAAATTAATTACTCATATATTTAAAAACATGCTGAGGGGAGTAATTTTAACTTTGTTCGGTGTTCGCTCCCCTGAGCTTCTAAATTAAACATGTATTTTACGAGAGGCGACAGAGCATTGGTGAGTAAAGCCAAAATTCTCGGGTTCGATTCCCGGCGATTATGTGAAACAGCAACAAATTTTTTCCTCATTAATCTGAGGTAATTTATAGTGGAAGAAAATTAAAATGAATTTTCACATTAATATTTGATATTAACCCCTATTAAATGTCAAAGTGTTTCATATTTATGTATTTTAATTTCTTTCGTTGTTTTGAATACATTATTATGAATTAAAATTTAATGAAATAATTGGTAAATTGATAATTGTTGGACATGCACGATATACTCAATCATCCTATACACTGATGACCCCTACATTAAAGGTTGCACATATCCGGTTTGGTGCTTCAATCGTCCGAAGAAAGAGGACTTTGCGGTAATAAAACATGACCGAATACTGCAATAATTATAAAAATTATTATGATTATTAGACCTTGCCGCAGTTTGCAATAAATAGCTGTAGGTACACAGGTCAATTAATAGCAACAATTAAATTATCTTGTGACATCACGTCAAATACTTCCAATTTCTTTTTCGTTGTATGAAATTTTTAAGTCGCAGAAACTCTTGTCTTTCTTAATTTTATATTAATTATTTTGCAATGTTCTTTTAGTAATTGAACTGATTCACATGGATAGTGATATCACACTGATGTTATCTACTGCTACTGAAAATGGAAAGAGACACCTTCGACTCTGTAATACTGATAACACAAGTGGATACTCCATAATTAAAAAAAAAGAAACTGCTCAGATTGCTTTGGACACCAGTTACGCCGTTTATAAAGAAACTACAGAGCCAATAACGATTGAAAAAGCACACATTGAATTCCCTACGTCCTTTTTTGCCCAGTTTTGGATCCTTTTGAAGAGGATGATGCTGATCAGAAGCAGAAGTCATACAGCTTTAAAGGTTCAACTGGTACATCATATTTTATCGGGTCTATTGGTAGGAAGCATCTTTTACAAAGTTGGACAAAATGGTTCTTTAGCTATTTCTAATTTCTTCTTTTGCCTGTGCGAAATCGTTTTCTTCATGTATACCCACACTATGACGTCCGTTTTAATGTGTAAGTGAGCATTTCGTTAAACAAAACGTTCTAGTAATACTAAACACTGACTAGATTCAACATCAGACTTTTTTGTTTTTTTTTAGTTCCAACCGAAGTACAAATTGTAAAACGAGAATATTTTAACAGATGGTACTCCCTAAAAGCATATTACGCTGCTGTTATAATTAGGAATTTACCTTTGGTGGTAAGTGAAAATGAAAAATTATATTGGCCCTTACGGCTACTATTAAATTAACGATTTTATGGTGTTTATTTTTATAGTTAGTTACATATATGTAATCATTTTAATTACAGATAATTCTGGGCTCTGTATACATAGCAATAACATACGCAATGAGTCAGCAACCCACGGATTTTAGAAGTATTACTCTTTCGTCTCTGGTTTTGCTGCTAGTAGCAGTAAATTCAGAAGCATTTGGTTTGGCTATTGGGGCCATGTTTAATATCATGGTACTACATTGCAAATCTCTTTATTGAAACGTTCTTTATTAAACAATTTTCTTTTTATTACTAGAACGGATCAGCAGTGGCACCGTCTTCCCTAGCCCCCCTTCTATTCTTCTCAATTTATGGAATGGGCTATGGGACCAAACTGGAAACCTTCATGCAATATTTGATAGGTACGAGTTATTTAAGGTACGGCGTTGTTGGGATGTGCTCTTCCCTTTTGGAATTTAGAGATCCTCTACCCTGTGATGAAGAAATATATTGTCACTACAGGGACCCAAAAATCCTTCTTAGGGATATGGGCGTCTTAGGACACACTTATTCCAATCAGGTCCTTGCTTTAGTGATATTCCTTTTCATTCACTATTTAATCGGTTTCTTGGCTTTATGGTACAGACTCAAGTCTGACTTAAAATCGACGGTAGCTGTCTACATAACGAAATTGTTTCAACTCAAACGCTCACTTTGTGGGAGATAGTATTCAGCAATGGCTTGACTGAGTTTGTATATATAAATATAGTGAGCTGAACAGAGTATTTTTAATAATTAATAATTTCCTTTAAGTCTGTAATTATATTGTCCTT